AAGTTTTTCTGGCTTGTTTATTTTGTGTTGCCCTTCAGACTTGCTTATTCTTTCCTTTTGTTTAGCTTTTGAAATTTTCATTTTTGCTTAGTATATTGAGTGGGGGAATCGACTCCCGTATCTTTTTATTTCTTGGATGGATATGAGAGTTTTGATGGGTGCCAATTTTATTGAAATGTGCCAGAAAGTTTCTTACTAGCACTTGTTAATTCCCTCTGTTTCTAGAGGAAGAAAAGTTCTCTTAGTATCATGTCTTTCTTAAACAACAAGGTTTAAGTTACAAAGAGTCATATATATATATATTTATATATATATTTTTGGAAGGTAAACAAATTGGTTGACAAATTGCTACTCATACTACAAGTCTTAATGCTATTAAGAGGCCGTTCAAGTCCTTTTTTTTTTTTTTTTCCATTTTGAAATGGATCGAGATAAAGATGCTCGATTTACCTTACTACAGATTTTGGTGATTAGATCTCTTATGGTGTGGCGTTCTTTATGACTTATTTTATAAAAATCAAAGGATATTGGGCCTAACTCAATCTAACAAAATCGGCTTATTAGGAGAAGATTGTCCTCATCTTATTAAGTGGATCATGCCAATATCTCCAGTCAATGTGGGATTCTAATACGCCCCCTCACGCACAGCATGGACCATGCCAAACCGCTGCGAATAAGTCGATATTAGGGGACCCAACATTGCAAAACTGGACATGCTCTGATACCATTTTACAGAAATTAAAGGATTTTGGGCCTAACTTAACCTAACAAAACCGACTTATTAGGAGAGGATTGCCCTCACCTTATTAAGTGGATCATGCCAATATCTCCAGTTAATGAGGGATTCTAATAGCTTATTTGAAGTTCATGGCGTCTTTTTGATGTTGCTTTGGTCTTTTAATTTCAAGGAAAACTTTCCGATCACGCACTATTTTTTCTGTTGGGTTTCATTCTTAAAAGGTTTTTATGAGACCGCCTAGACTTTTGTGGTTCTACCAATTACACTTTATTTTTGCACACTGAGGCTCAAACCTATAAGAATTAAGAAGACGGTCTTTTGTTCCCACGGAGCTGTATGCAAGTGGATATGAACCGATTTCATGAATTTTCAAAAAAGTAAAAAAGGTTCCTTCTATACGCTTTATTCTTAGACTAGGCCACGCGAGGAACGTGCTGGACTCTTTAGCTGTTCCTTCAGGGAAACTTGGTATTTCGTTTGGTGCTTCTCACAAAAAAAAAAAAAAAAAAAAAAAAGAGAGAAAAAAAGAAACGTGAAAATGTATATACTTTATATGTATGTGAAAATGTGTGCACGCGCAGTAAAAGAAGAGCAACACAAAAAATATTTCCTTATCCATGTAAATCCAAGACTTTGAAAATTAAAGGGAAAAACATTGCATTAGAAAGATAAAAGAAAAACAAAAGTAACAAAGCTGAGTCAATTACACAAGGCAAAAGTTTCCATCAAGGAAAATGATTTCGAAAAACCAATCAGTACTTTCCACATCATAAAACACCGACTCCCTCTTTTTACCGATGTTATAGAAAAGTACTATAGAGTTTCGCTCTTTAAACCAACATCCCTTGTAGTCTCTAGCCTAGCTTTGACCATATATGTGTGTGTGTGTATACACTATTAATATATACATATATACACACACATATACATGTAAGAGAAACGAAAAACCACCCCTCTATTGGACGTGATAACTTCAAATAAACCGTATAATAATACTATTAGAAATTAAGAATAGTAAAAAGTAAATATTTAAAGAAAAAAGTTAGGTACTCCGCCATATATAAACCAAGTTTGGACACAAATCTTCTAAAGAAAAAGAAAAAAAAATCTTATAGTATATGTAGCATTGAGAAGGCATATATACTTGTCTGGAACACAATTAAATCTATAGGATAAGTACTACTCAAACTTCTCATTGCCTCATATGCTTTTTGACCTTTTATTTATGTTGTAAACATGCTCATTAACAAATGGTTTTCCGTCATATGTTTATTGATATATATATATATATATATATATATATATATATTGTAATGACTGGGAAAAATTAGGTCTAATTCGGACAGTCCGGTATTTGACCAAAATCCTTTCCGGAATAGTAATACCAAATGACCAGCTAAAAAAAGAGTAGAAATATTAGAGGTAAGGAAAAAGCAAAAGTTTCTGAAACAGAATTTTTCCGAGTCAGTTTAAGCAGGAAACTGCTAAAACATGAGTATCGCAAGGGTATGCGTTTTGGGCAATTCTGAATCTATTAAAATGATAATTTCAGAAAAAGAAATTGACCAATGAGATACCCAAGAAAATTGAGTTGAACATGAAAAGTTTGACCCAGGGTACTCGATAGTCTAGAAAAGCAAGTGGAACCAAGTTATAGTATATATATATATATATAAGATTATTTATAATTACGTTTAAAAAAAAGTGAAATGATTATTACATTATATATATATATAAAAGATTAGATTATCTCTAGTACGTTAAAAAAAAGAAGGAAAGAAATAATTATTACGTAAGGTGAACATGGGTTGCACATGTAATAATACCACTTGGCATTGTTATATGCTTAAGCTATTTTAGCTTGGTGACTCACGTTAACTTGATAACTCAAGTTGTAAAAAAATAACACATAAACTTACTAATGCCATTAATGTAAGGCATAACAGAGATAAGGAGAAAAAAAGAAACGTGAGAGAGAGACGGAGAAAGGAAAAATTAAGCATTTTTACTGGGATTTCTTCCATTCAATCCGGTAGAAACGTAACCTGAGGCGTTCCAGTGAAAAACCTCAACTTTTAGAGGTAAGATTTCGGATTTAAAAATGAGAATTCTATGATTTCTTGAGTTAGATGAATAGTAACCCATCTCGGAAAACTTCCGTTAAAGTAAAAATCAAAACCGAGGTTTTGTAGAGCATCGTAATAGGAGTGTGTAAGTATTAAAACGATTGAACGAAGTTTTGATGGATTTTCTTTGAAAATCCGTGAACCTAGATTGAGGAAGAACATGTGTTTTTGTTCAATATTATGTTAGAATCTGTGTTCAGGAATGTGAATCTTGACTCCAGGTACCAGAATCGAAAGTAGAACGAGTTATTGAAAACTCGGGAAACGAGAAAAATAAGGCGAAACTCTGCCGGAATTTAGTTTGAGTAATTTGAACTAAAACTGGATTTCAAGAGGAATATGTGATTAAAGTGTGAAAAGAAAGATGTTTCGATAATCGGTGATGGTTAGAAACCGAACACAACGAGAATTCACAGTTTTGGATTGAAACTGAAAATTAGGCCTATGACTGAGTAATTTGCACGGTTTTAGTGCAAATCCTTGAGATAGGAAATAGTTTGAGGTTGAATACCAAACATAAGGATTGTAGACCTTTCCGACGTAAATTTCAATGTAATTATTGATCTTAGATTTTGAATCTAACGATCGAAAAATTTATGCAATAGGGCTGATTAACGGTTGAAGTCGGACAGCAGCAAGGGAGACAAAGGACGCATTGTTAGCGAAACTTCTGTAAGTACAATAGTTTTTCTATGGCTATATCGCGAACAAGCTTACTTTTCTATGTTGCACAAAAATTGTGCATATTATGGAATTTTGAATGTTAGATAGATATAATGTTAAGTATGTATCGATGATAAGTTAATGTCAAGTTACGAGAAAGAGTTAAACTTTAATAAAAAAGTTAATCTCATGTTAAATTGTTCAAAAATGCACAAATTCATAAGATTTAATTAAAGTTACCGTTTCAATGAGAAAATTGATAAACGGTAAGAGACTAAACGTCCTGTTTGTACCAGCCTTCCAAGGAAAGGTTATTATAAGACTATGAAAGATATGAAACCGTGACTGAGTTGGATTGGTTAGCTACCCCACTCCTCACTGGTTATGCGCGCTATGGTACAACAGGACAGGGCCCATAAAAAGTAAAAGACAAGAAAATGAAACACAGAAACCATTCCATATAACGGTATGGTATCTGCAAACAAGAATGAGAAACACAAAAATGAAAGTTGTTCAAAACGTAAAAATACAATATGAACGACTATAATGAGATGAAAGCTGAACAAAGTATGAAATGAAAGAAGAAGAACATAAAACATATACGTTTTCGTAGTACAGAATGTATTAGGATATATGTCATGAATGCATATATGGGTGTGCATAATTATTGTATCTGTTATGACCTATTGATACTTGCTGAGCGAAAGCTCATTAAGTTTATTCGTGTTGTAAGAAGCATGGGTAAGGCATCGGCTCCCTGAAACTTGTTGCTGGGCATGCAGAGAGAATGTATCAGTGAAATGTGGGCAAGTGGGTTGTGGATACCTCACATGTTTTGGAAACGCTGCTGAACTTTATATGTAAAATAAAATAGTATTTTATGTATTTTGATGACTAATGTAACAGAATGTTGTCAGAATGCTACAACTTTTTAGGAATGGCTGAAAACAGAATGCTAGCTAAATGCTACAGCATTTTAACGTACATGGAAAAAAATAGCCTGGAATTTTAAGAAGTTATAACTAGTAAATGGTAGAGATTAAAAGATGTTAAGTATGAGCATAAGACGACAATCAAAAGTTAGGGTCGTCACACATATATATATATATATTTTTTTTTTTCCTACCAAATATGGTAAATTTAAAACTGCGCTAAAGGTGTGTTCTCATTGACATTGTTCATGGATATGATTCAACAACCCACACAACATAAAAGGAGGTACCACTTATATAGGCACTTGTTCATGCAAAGAATAGTCTAGAAGCTGACTACATAATTAATGATAAATCCATGTCACACAAGGCTAATTTGTTAAAACACGTATTTCCACCTTGGAATCTTCTCTCATGCATATTTTTAATTTTCTTAATTATCTTTCCACTTCTATAATTTAGTGGATGCACTAGTACTGCCCCGATGACTATAAATAGACACATTGTTGGTGTTCTCTCTTTCACACATGGTTTCATACCCTTTCTTGTAGGACTTGTCTCTAGCTATAGTTATACTCGTCTTAGGCTTCCAAAATGATCAATTTTGTGTCAAAGGTTATCGTCTTTACTCTGGCTCTTACTGCTCTGGAATTTGTTGAACTTGTTTGTGGTTTTAGGCACTGGAAATGGTCTAGTACTAGTGGAAAATTGAACCCTTCTGAGAACATTGACCACCTTGTGACCAACTTGCCAGGCCAGCCACAGGTAGAATTCCGGCACTACGCTGGCTATGTTACGGTGGATCAAACACATGGAAGAGCTCTTTTTTACTGGTTTTATGAGGCTACTTCTCGCCCCGACGAAAAACCTTTAGTACTGTGGCTTAATGGAGGTATTCATATAACAAAAGTGTCACGTCAAATAATACTTTTTTTTTTCCCCTTCTTCATAGAGCTTGTCATTAAAAGCTGCTAGCTCTTCCAACTTTTGCAACTTCTTTATCCTATTTACTCAACTTTGATTTTGTCTCTCACTTATTGGGAAGTAGATATGCTAATTAGAACATGTTAACCACAACAAAGTTCAAAGGAAAGGATTATGGAAGTATGCTATTTGGTTCTGACGCAACTTGTTTTAGTGGGACAAATTTTTATGAGTTTCCCCTTACATATTTCAGGTTCATGGTTTCGGTTCTAAAGCCAATCTTTTGACCACATCCACCATCCTATTCATATCTATATTTCTATTATTCCATACTTATCCATAGATATGAGTTGAAAGAGAGAGTTAAGCAAAATTTCTTCAATAAATATATCTTCATGTTGCCTTATCTTTAGACAGTCTCTCACCCTACACAAACATAATATTGTGACTAAACAATTGATCAATAAAGTTCTTATAAAGGGCATATTATGATTATCATATTGTTTAATCTCTTAGTGGGGGTCTTCTTTTTTAATTTAATATTTAATTTTTGTGACTTTTCCAACTCACCCAAAGACATTTTTAATGACCAAAAATCATTGTGGAAGTTTATTTTATGTTCTTAGCTAAGGTGACAAGATGCTTTATGTTTCAGGTCCTGGGTGCTCTTCTGTTGGATATGGAGCAACTCAAGAGATTGGTCCTTTCATAGTGGACACTGATGGCCATGGACTTAAATATAATCCCTCTTCATGGAACACAGGTTGGAGTACTAATTATATCCATTAATCAAATATTTTGTAATCTACACATAATTAAACTCATAGATTAATTAATTAATTTCTATAAATAACATAAATTTCTATAGAGTGGTCCTGATATGACAAGTTGAGAACAAGTTCTTAATAAACTAGTTATCATGTTTTTTGATGACGCAGAGGCCAACATGTTATTCCTGGAATCTCCAATTGGGGTTGGCTTTTCATACTCAAATACCAGTACTGATTATGACAATCTGGGAGATGACTTTACAGGTTTGTTTTCCTTGCATAATTGTCCCTTTCAGACAGTACTATGGTTAACCGTTATAACATCAATTTTTTTCCCTTCATATCAGCAAATGATGCTTATACTTTCCTGCAAAAGTGGTTCCTCAAGTTTCCGTCGTACCGAAATCGGTCGTTCTACATAGCAGGGGAGAGCTATGCTGGTAAAGATGTCCTACTAATTCTGACCCTTAATTTCTTTGCTGCAACTAAAATTCTATTGAATTCCCTATTTTTTTTCCTTTTTTTTTTTTTAATATTCAACAGGAAAATATGTTCCTGAGCTGGCTGAGCTCGTCCATGACAAAAATAAAGACCCTTCTCTTCATATTGATATCAAGGGCATCCTGGTCAGTCTTTCATATATTCTCTGCTTCAGTCCTGCTATTAAATTTTTATGATCATTTGCAGAATTATAATTGCTTTATTTTCCGAACAATTTATAGTTGGGCAATCCTGAAACATCTGATGCTGAGGACTGGAAAGGGCTGGTGGATTATGCCTGGAGCCACGCAGTGATATCAGACGAAACTCACAAGATTATCAAAGAAAACTGTGATTTTAACAGTAACAACACGTGGGACAACGACCAGTGTAATCAGGCCGTCGACGAAGTGCTCAAACAGTACAAGGAGATCGACATCTACAGCCTTTACACCTCGGTTTGCATTGCGGATTCGGCTAGCTCGGAGGATTCTTCATTCCAAGTCATGATGAAGCGCTCATCTACAATGGTACTTATTGTCACGATACCTTCTTAACCAATTACAAATTCGCATTTCAACTCTCAGACTCATAGACTATGACATAAGGACCTCACAGTGTTATGAGTCAATTCCTAACTGGTTAAAAATGTACAAATGTTATAAATAACTTTGTTTTTTATTGCATATATTTGACATGAAATGTTATCGGGTTGTGTCCACCAGATGCCGAGGATCATGGGAGGGTATTACGATCCATGCCTCGACGAGTATGCGAAGGCCTTTTACAACAGACTCGATGTGCAAAAGGCCCTTCATGTAAACGACGGTCTTCACCTCAGAAACTGGAGCATCTGCAAGTAATGAATGATCTCTCTTCCTGATCAGTCACTCAATCCAGATCTTATTTGAGTAATTCCCAATATCACATAACCTATTGTTCAACCAATATTTGTTCTGCAGCTTTAAAATATTCAGAGAGTGGTCTGATTCAAAGCCATCTGTTCTTCCCATCTACAAAAAGCTCATTGCAGCTGGGCTCAGAATATGGGTCTACAGGTACAAAAATAATCATGAATTCTTCTTTTTATCATAATATATATAATCATGAATTCTTCTTTTTATCATATATATATATATATGTAATAATGAATTCTTCTTTTTATCATAATATGTATAATCATGAATTCTTTTTTTTATATCATATATGTGTGTATATATATATATATATATATAATGTGAGAATATGCTATTGGACAATTGCCAATTAATCTTTGTCGATGTGGCTCAGTGGGGACACAGATGGAAGAGTTCCTGTGCTGTCTACAAGATATAGCTTGAGTTCTCTTGGACTGCCCATCACCAAGGCATGGAGGCCATGGTACCACCAGAAGCAGGTAATTAACCCATTTAGTCTTAAAGAGTGGTCAAAATCAGTAGTACTAAACTACTTTAGAACTCCTTTTCAATATTTGTGTTACTGATCATATTCTTTTTGTGATGCTGATTATAAGGATAACTTATTATTTATATGTAAATATACATATATTATGCGGACAATTTATAGCTCAAGTGGTTAGGTGCGTGAGTGTGTACGTGTGTCAATCAGATTTCAAATCTTAATGGTTTTATTTTTTAAATAAAGTGGGAGCCGGCTCCACGGCGTACGAAAAAAATGTGGACAATCTTCAAAACTTTGTTTAAATTTGTTTGATTCATTAGTGAATAATGTATGACAAAAGAGGCATGACCCAAAAAGGGTTCTGCAGGAGATACACGAATCCATACGAGTACATTGTACCAAACCGACAATTTAATGATTCTTTGAATATTTTTTACATTAAATTGTTTCAAATTGACTCATTAAGTGCAATAAATGGTTTTTATATAATTATATCCATGAAAAAAGGGAATGTTCTGAATGTTGTTTTACTAACCGAAGTGAACAAAATGGTTTGGATAATCAGGTGAGTGGTTGGTTCCAAGAATACGAGGGTCTTACTTTTGCAACGTTCAGAGGAGCTGGTCATGCAGTGCCTTGCTTCAAACCAAACAACTCTCTCGCATTCTTCACATCCTTTCTCAGTGGGGAATCTCCACCTTCTACGCGATGAGTATTTTGTATTTTAGCCTCATATGTGACGAGCGTTTTGTATTTGTAGCACTCGGAAAAGATTTTGCTGATCTTACTATATATTATGGCATATTACCTGAGAAGTGTAGCAGGAAAATGCTAGAAATAGAGAAATAAAACGCCAGTGCTACTTTACCAATATTATTATATAGAGAGGAGGCTTTCTTTCTTTTTGTTTTTTTTTTTCCACTATTTATGAAGTACTCCTTTGCGAAGAACCTAAAACTGCCTTCTAATTTCGTGATAAGTACATAGAAGCCATATACATTATGGTCCTCTCGAAAGGACTATATAATTTCACGGTCTACCATAATGGATTATACAGAAATAAAATAAGTAAAAAGACATTTTTTTTTTTAATGTTACTCGATATTAAAAAAATACATAATACATAAATATTTAATTATCTCAAATTATTATTACTCCTCTGATTTCTATATGTTAGAATTAAATACGATAAGTACGGGAATGACGGTGGCCAAAACCTATGCACGTCATGAGAATGTTCAGCACACCTAAGCGACGACAATTTGGAAAAAAAAGGACACCAAAATCGAAACAACAATAGTAATTTAAGACAAACAAACGAAATTAGGGTCCTTTTATTCTGCCAGAATGCTTTTTCCCAGCAGCGTGCGCGTGTAAATTGAAACCGTTGGATTAATATAGTGGTTAAGATGCTTCCACGTAGAAGGAAAAGTGTAACTTGCAACGGGTTGAAACAGTTTGAAGTAGAGGTTATATTTTTTAACAGTTGTGTTTGCTAATTAGGAAAAAAAAAAAAAAAATTTTGTTTGCTCTTCTTTTAATTTCGATTTTGGATTTTAATTTTCTTTTTTAAATCTGATTTTTTAAAATTCTTTTCATTTTTTCTTTTTTTTTTCCTTCTAAGCAAAATGCTTGATTATAACAGAAGGAAAAAAAAAAAAAAACTTGACAATTACAAGAAATACTTAATAATCGGCAAAAATATGTGACAATCGCCAGAAATACTTGCTAATTTTAGGAAATACTTGACAACCGCAAAAGAATTTAAAGCATATAAATAAGTATATATTATCATAAAAAAAAGAAACGAATAAGTATATTTCTCATAAAATAAACAGATAAAAAGACGATAGTAAATGAAAAAACTGTGAATTTTATGGAACATAAACTTATTATAAGTATATTTATCATAAAAAAAACGAATAAAAAGACGATAGTAAATAAAGAATCTGTGAAATTTTATGAAACATGAACGTATGTATTTTTTTTTTTTACCAACTCATTTTTTAGTTTGAATTATATCGGAAAAAAAAAATAAAATAAAGAAACTCAAATCGCACTCGGGCTTAGATTTCTAAAAGTCTTCTTTCTTCTTTGTTGTTGGATTCCAAAATCCAAATCTCAATGGGGCCTTCCATGAAAACTAGTTTCAGAGTGGCGCGTATACGAACCTACGAGATTTGGGTTCTTGTAGATCTGAAGAGCTAACGAAGAAGATGCAGCGGCAAGTGAGAGATATGGTTCTCGTCTTCTTCTTCAAATTGATTCTCGTCTTTCTCTCGCTTCCTCTCCTTCGACTCTTGCCGCTTCCTCTTTGGCAATGAAAGAATCTCTTTGCGTTACAGTGAGAGATGGTTTTGCAGAATTTAGAGAGAGAAGTTGAGGCTGGGTTTAGTTGATCGGGTGTTATTCTTGTTGGTTATAATTCTGTGCACCTCGGAGCTGAGCTCCTCATCGCACAAGAAACTTCAAAAACACCTTTCATGCAAGAATACCATCTCTGATATATATATATATATATATATATATATGGAACTCAATCTCTACGCCACAATTGAGGTGTAGGCGAGGGTGGGTAAATAACATTACCAGCAGAGTTGGTACCTTCCTCGTTCAAAGAAATCATAAATATGCTGACAATGCTCATAATCTTGTTTTCCGGCGAGATAATAAAAAAGGCTTCATAGTAAACCCACGAAAAGAAAATGAATTTCCTTAAAATAAATAAATGAAAAAGAAAAAAATATTTGTCGTTGTCGTCTCTTCGTTGAGCAACATCAAATTTATGGAAATTTATGATACGATTGTGCAAAAATGGAGTCATGGGGTCGTGGAGATTTTGTTTTTTCAATCTTCTGATAAAAGTTCAGATTAGAAAAAGAAATTTACTTTTTTATTTCGAAAATATTAACCAAGTGTATGAGATTTGAAAACTGATTTTTCAGTATAAAAAAAAACTAAATTACATGTGGCATTTTTGAGACTCGTGGCATTTAAGATGAGTGAACATTTGGATCGTGGCATGTAAGCTTCCTCTGTCATTGTGTCATGTCTCTCCTCCAAAGGCCACCGAAATTGTAACTCAAAATCTCAGTAATGGTTGGTTGTTAAAACAATACTTTTCTCAGAAATAGTAAAAAATAAGTCAATATAAAAAGTTTAAGAAAGTATATATACTAATTTTTAATTATAAAAATTAATAGGCCATAACTTGTTAAGTTATGGATAAATTTGTCAAGTTATGGTTCATAGTCAGACAAGTTATGGACAAAAATCGTGAATTATGGACAATAAATTGTCAAGTTATGGTTCATAACCAGAAAAATTATAGACAAAAATAGTAATTTTACCTATTTATTAACTTTTATAAACTATTTGCGTATTAATTATATTTCACTCTTTCTCCCTACTTTTCTTTCCAACATGTTGCTGGGGCACAGTCAAAAGTTCAGGCCCAACCCATCTAGCCCGCAAAACTGAGCCTACTCAAGGTAACCCGAAGGGTTACGGATTTGTGAGCCAAATACAGTGTTGCGGCTCGGCCCAAATTTTAGGCCCAATCTGAGCCTACCCGGTCTATTTACACTCCTAATGTTGCGGACAATCGTCTTCTTTAAATGTTCGATTATAGTTCACTTTTCATGATCGCTTAATATTTCTACGCGTCGAGTTTTTTATTTGGCACTATAATTGATAGAGAAGTGTAGAGGAGTTTGACTATCCACAATGATCAGCTTTAGTTTAGCGATTACACTGATAAATTTACGATAGCTTAAAAATTTGTTTAGTAATATTATCTGAATTTTTAAACCTATGTTTGATTATTAGGTTGTAAAATTTTCTACATCAAACCTAACAACAAATTAATTATTTTCATTTTTTTTTCATACTACTTTAATTACATTATTATTTCTTTTTTCATTTAGCCAAGTTAACCTGATCAAATTATTTCATGTTGAAATAGATTTAAAAGTTTCTACTAAAAAAAGTCTGACTTATAATTAATATCACTTATTCCACCTACTTTTCTATTTATTACTTTTTTTTCTTCCTTTTATTTCACTTAATTCTCAGCCAACTTCTCCAGCCGGTTGACCCAGGGCCGGCCCAACCTTACTGTAGAAGACAAATATTAATGTAAAAGGACAGAAACTACAAAAACGACAGCTAATTGTGATTGACAATTTATTGAAACGGCGTTAATTAACTTTAAAAAGGAAATCAAGAGAACAGGATGGCAAGATTATAACCAACTTCTCTCTCTCTCTCTATTCAAATCATACCATAGTTTGTTATGGAAAATTATATTAATCGATTCTTTAAGCAAAAAATTTTAGCGTGAAGCTTCTGCTACCCGGCCGGTTTCTAATCCTTGAATTGCCTGTACGGAATTAAATATATTCATTCATCAAGAACTTTCGTTACATTAAGAATGAGACTACGGAAGCATAAAACGGCAAATTTAGATATCTTAATTTCGTAATATTTATTCATCTTAATATCTTATATTACACAAAAGGACGACCAAGACAATAGAGCACAAATTAAAGCGAGTAAACGCTTTTGCTTATTTGACGTAAACATGCATAAAATATAATGTACTTGACACATTACAACACGTCACAGCATGACATTGCCATACGTTACAGAACGCTGACGCACAGACAAACTGCTCGTGATGAAATTTTTGGAGGGCTTGCCAAAGCGGCCATGAAATAATTTGATGGCTGAACATTTCGTGACGTTTGCTTCCGTAGGAAAGGATCCTAGTACCGGAGCCTTTACAAGACCCGGAAGCTTATAATTCTTTGAGGAATGAATTTGTGGAGGAATGTAGATTGCCTTGGCAATGTCCTCAAGCATTTCGGTGTCGGAATCATAACGGTTGGAAGAGTTGAAGAACATCTGAAACACTTTCAAACAAGAGAGGTGAAGATGCCTGCATTCTTTGGGCAGATCTGTCAAGTCATCCATCAAAACATGCTCAAGAAACTCTTCTTTTTTCTTGTTCAACATCTCTCCCACGTAAGAGATTGCCTCTTCAATGTTTGCCTCGGGGTTGTTTCTCAAGTGGAGTAGAACAGAGTTTGGTGTGCCTTCATCTTTTTCTTTCTGCAAGTACGTACGTACCACATGAGGGAAAAAAATTATTGGGACTATTGCATGTAATTAGATTATTTTTGTAGTAATGGAAGCCAAATTTATTAATGATTACTATTTTGTATTAGACTATCACATATTGATTTTTTCATATTTTTTGTCTTTTATCTAATAAATTATAACAGGGATTTTAATATAAAACGAGTTGTTTAGTGAGTGCCAAACTTAATTGAAATGCGCTAAGTTTTTTATATCAGTTGCCCAATATTTTCATTTAAGAAATGAAAGTGAAATTAATGATGATCACCTTGTAGCTTTGCACGTCATTCAACAGTCGGGAAATAATCATGAGCAGTTTTGTAAGGGGTTCATATTTCGGCGGTCGGAGTTTGGAATTTGGTAAGCTTGGCTTCAAATAACATGAAGCTGGTAGAACTGTGGTGTGAGTGGCAATGGATATCATTCCAACTTTAAGATATTCATCCATTGATGGTATGCTGTCACTGCTCCCCCACTCGGATTCCACAAGCCATGAAAGAAATGTTTCATACCACTACATCGAAAAAGAAAAAAAAAAAAACCGTCATTAATGTTACTCGGTTCAAAGTAGAAAGTTAAATTAAGTATCAGAAAAGCAAGAAAGATCATAGCTTACTATATCTCTTAAACAACTCGTTATGTCGCTTCCTTCTTGTTTGAGGTACTCGGTTGCCATTTCATTAACAAGATTATCAAGGGCATTAAAAATT